TGGGTAATTTTACTAACAACTCTCGGAGTACGGTTATCCAGCCAGTTATGCACCCACCTTATAGTAGCCCCATCTAAATTGTATTTGCCTAGTTTATCAATAAGAATATCATGCAAGACTGTATCAAATGCCTTACTAAAGTCTAGGTATACCACATCCACAGCTTCACCCTTATCCACAAGGCTCGTTATCCTATCAAAGAAAGCTATCAGATTGGTTTGACTCTGATGATTGCCTTGATCACTTGATGATTGCCTATTCTGTTCATCCTCTCTGGGGCACCTGGCATTGGCCACGGTCGGAAGACAGGATATTTGGCTAGATGGACCATTGGTCTGACCCAGTATGGCCGTTCTTAATGTTCATGACTCCTCAAGGTCATGTTCTAACATGTCTTAGTTTTCTAGTGAAGACAAGTGTAACAGGGCTGGAGTTTGGGTTTGGTTCAGATGAGCAACCAAAAGTTCAGTTGTGGAACTGTCCAAACCTCTCAGGTCTGCAAAGTCAGACTGTATATATTCCAAGGAAAGGCTATTGGGAGATTTATGGTCCTCCCTGTTGCTGGTCAAGCCAATCACACCATGAAAACATCTCATGAGCATGTACGACCTAGTTAAACCCTGTTCACCCTAATGATGTGATTTACCTGTAATGATGATTTCATTGTTAATTATTTATAGCCAATACTTCTGTTATATTCTTGAATTCAATTTCTCTCATTACATACCTTTTCTTCTTTTTCTGTGACCACCAAAACTAAAACTCAGTCTAAATTTTCAAAAATGACCAGTGATTTTTACATACCTCTATGTTCAGGTGTCCAAGTTGAGACACTTTAACGGGGCCTGATTTTTAGAGGATGAATAAATAACAACAAAACCGCTCTCTTATGCTCTGTACTTTCTGAAAATCTGGTCTCTTTACAGTGACTCAGGTTGTATAGCCAAAAAAATGGAGGCACCCCAAATCACTCTCTAGGCATACCTACATTTCAAATGCAATTAGTGGTGTTGATTGCCTTTACGTACATAGAAGTTAATGAGAAAGTGTGTTGGTGAGATTCTCAAGCTTATCTCTAGATGAAGGATGTTCAAATAATCATGGATGCTTCTCTGAGACAAGCTTTTGGACGGTCTGTCCTCCCCTCACTGGTAAATAATAGCCCTTGAAAATAGCACTGTCTTGTTTAAAACCACCATCAGAAACCAAGATTAAAACTGGCAATTGAAGTGTAGAATTGCAGTGTGACAAAACTCAGTTTTTTCTCTCTCACTATCTCTGAGCAGTTTGTGGAAAGAACTAGGAGATTTTAAGTGGTCATACAGCAACATGAAAGTTTCAAGTGCTTACCCTGTTCTTCATATCTTTCTGCTCTCTTCTTCCTGATACAGTAAATCAGCAGAGCCAAAAAGATGACAAAGACAACTGCACCTCCTGCAATGCTCCCGATGAGAATAATGTCCAGCGGCCCTAGGTCAGAGAGAAGAAGGAGGAGATGTCACAGGGAGAGAATAAAACTCCAAAGTCTGGAATTTGGTCCCAGTGATCTGGAGGATGTACACATGTGAAGCTTAGGACATAGATAACGATGATGATATGAAAACCTTGTAGTTATATAGCATCTTTTGTCCCAGCATCTCAAAGCATTTTCACAAACAATAAATTAAGACTCATAACACCCCTCTGAGATAATGTTAAGTATTATTATCCCCATTTTACAAAGGGGGAAATTGAGGCACAAACAAAGTTAAACCACTAGCTTATGGTCACAGAAAACTTGGTGGGAAGGAGAATTTTTTCATGAAACAGAGTTATGAAATGTGTGTATGATGTGCTTTGTTTGATGGGAGTTCTCGGGAAAGTTTGAGGCAGAATTCACAGGAGTGCCAAATGTTTTACTTAAGAAACAATAGGTGTCAAACCTCAAAAGTCTTGTTCTAGATTGACACACAAAGATCTGAGTGTCCTTCTGGCCTTTTAAGGACTTTCAAAATGCTTTGACTGGGCAAAAGTAGGGCTCAGAGTCTGACAAAAAACACAGACTTTTTCAGGAGCCGGAAATACTGTGAGAACAGCTTGTCTTGTGGTATTTCAGAGCTTGCTCTTCTAGCCTTGGCGGAAACTCAAAACAAGTGCTACACAATAATTAACAATAGTGAAGAAACAGAAAAACTAACCAGCCGTGCCACCGGTGAGTGCTGGGGGGTGGTTCCCCCTGCCCCCCCAGTCAAACCCCCCCCCATGGATGCTGGGACCAGCCCCCACCCCACCCCTGCAGAGGCCTGGGGCCCCTTACCCCTCTCCCCCCATGGGGGGGGGGGCTGCGTAGGGCCCCAGAGTAGCTAGGGACGGCCCTGGTGCTAAGCATTAATTAATTATTATTATTATTGTCAATTTACACCCAGTGAGGACTGGCCCTGAGTGATGAGAGAATGAACTTCATGCAATAAGCTCCAAGTATTTAATATACACAAATGAATGTGTCAGTAAGAAACAGCAACTCTACACTGCCTTGTGGTGACTCCATCTTTGGATCACCCACCCCATGCTTGCTTATCAATTTAACAGGCTTATCCCTGGCTATGTTTGAGAACTGCTTCTTGATTCTTATATCTGCACTCATACTCCTCTCGCTGTTTCAGGCTGCCACGACGCTGTCTAAAGTGGTGGTACAGCTAGGAGTGAAATTGGATGTGCCCCAACTTATGGTGGACGGTCAATGACCTGTCAATGACCTGTCCCTGGGGCAAGTCTGGGGACTTGGAGACAGAACTTCCCTACTCCTGCATAAGGAGGCAGGACAGGTTTTTGTGTATGTCGCTGGAGGTGGGGGATGGGGCTGAGGCAGTGCCCCCACCCTCAGATCACTGAGCAGGGGCAGGGGCTGGTCAGTGCAGAGGGAGCCATTGCAGTGCAGGGCACATCTCCGGGCAGTTGTCTCCGGCTCTGTGCCAGAGGGCATGCCATCTCGGGCAGCTGGAAGGACTTGGCCTCCCACTGCAGGTGGCTGCACTCAGGCAAGTGCTGGGGCAGCATCAGGTCCTACATTTAGGCAGGATGTAGCGGAAGAGGAAACCACTGCAGTTGCAGAAGAAGCCGCCTTGGCTGTCCTGGGCAGCTGGCTCAACTGCTGCTGGGAGAACATGCACCAGAGCAGTGAGTCTTGCACCGACACGACAGTTCCATGCCACATCTCACACACGCCTCCCCGCCACCGTTCAGCTTCTGCTCTCCAGGAAGGTGGATGAGCCTGGACCCGCTGTGGCAGCACCCCTGCCCCAGTTCCTGCTGACAGCAACACTCCACCCCAGTTCAGTAACAGCCCAGCACTGTCTGCTGGGGCCATCCCAGAGTGAGCCCACTGCAGCTGGGGAGAAGCCACCTCCTGCCCTTTATCCCATAAGTGCCTGGGAGCAGCCTCCCCTTCTCCTGCAGGTGATTGGACCACCTCTCTCCCACTTTCACTAGCCTCTGCTCTACAGTGGCAGGGCCTCTTGCCGCTTCCGTCGCTCCAGGCACTGACAGAGCTGCCACCTCTCAGGCTCAGATCGGGCTGGGCCTGGTGCTAAGTGGGTGAGCCATGGCCCTGCCACTGGTCTGAAGGGGGCAGACAATCAATCACCCTTTCACTGCAGTGAGCCCCACACTGTAGGATCCTTTCCTCACGCCCTTTGAAAGCTGACTGGTTTTATTTATTTGCAGGTTTTCAGTGGCACTTCTCACTGCAGCGTCTGGGGTAGAGTGGGGCGTGACCCTGAAAAGTTCGGGACCACTGATCTAGATTATAAACTCACTGGGGTAGGGTCAATGGGCCAAATTCTCTGCTTGGGTAACTTCATTGAAGCCAAAGGAGTTAATTCTGTAGAGAATTTGACTCCATATCTTCAACCGTATACTATACAGCATGTCGTGCAGAGTCACTGGGCAACGGATATTAAATAGTATCTAATCTAATAATAGATTTAACCTTTGGGATCTCTCATTTAGATTATATGATTCTTTTGTAATAGCTGTAAATGCCCAGTTCTGCTGCTGGTAAAACTATGGGGGTAAAGCCTGCAGCACTGTTCCTGTTGTAATAAGTATGTAGGTTTCTACCACCTGATTGTCAATTTTACTTATGTTACTGTTAAACTGCTTGGTGTCTGAAGGTGCCAGATGCCCAGATTAATAGGTCAAAGGGAACATGTGAGAGTTAATTGCATAAATGGAGATTCCTACACTATAAAGCCAGCAGGGACCATTGTGATCATCTAGTCGGACTTCCTGAATAACACAGGCCACAGGACTTCACCGCAGATGGGAAGCCACCAAAGCTGTTCAGATATTACTTTTAAAAGACTAAAAATAACACATAGGTAATAAAATTTAGTTTTTAAACAATTTTTCTATTGACGCTGTAGATTATTAAAAGTGAAAGGATTTTGGAGATCTGATTAATTTTTCATTCGTTGACTTCTTGCATTTCACCCAAGTTGGACAATTAAAGAAAAGACTGGTCAGTTTCAGGTGTGTTTCACTGACTGCACACTAGCCTAGCGCTGCTGGGCTTGCCTCCCCAACACTGCAGGACACTGTTTCAATTCAAACAAAGAAACAAACAAAATTTCCAGTGACTTTTTCCCCCTCTAAAGTTTCATGAAAACATTTCTATGAATAGCAAATTTTATAAAACCTTTTTCCTTTAAGAAAATCTACACCTGAGGCCTAGCCTACTTGATTGCTCATTTAAGCTGATCAACTCCTAAAAGTTTCACAGCTAATTTCCCAAAAGCTCACTGCAAAGGAAGCCCATGCTTTATATGCACATGTTAAATAGCACAATCATGACATCCAGGTTTTTAATCAAAAGAATCCATCCGCCAATGTGGCACCACTGACTTCTTAGATACAAAGGGTGGAAAAGATCAAGACTTCCTTGCATCTAATTCTCCTGTCACTTGGGGCGTGTCTACACTTGAAACGCTACAGCGGCAGAGCTCCACCACCGCAGTAGCATTTCAGCGTGGGCACTACCTATGCTGAAGGGAAAGGTTCTCCCATCGGCATGGGTAGCTAGGTCGATGGAAGAATTCTTCTGTCAACCTAGCGCTGTCTACAGTGGGGGTTAAATCCTCTGAGTGACATAGCTGGGGCAACCTAACTTTTTAAAAACGAGATTGACCTAAATATGTTGCTCGGGGTCATGAAAAGTTTTGTGACTTGAGCACTGTAGTTAAGTCGGCCTAACCTCCAGTGTAGACACGTCTAGGTCGATGGAAGAATTCTTTTGTCAACCTCACTACTGCCTCTCAGAGAGGTGGATTAAATATAGTGATGGAAAAACTCGTCTGTCACTGTAGGAAACATCTACACCATTGCACTACAGTGGCACAGCTGCAGCGCTACAGCTATGCCACTGTACCACCTGTAATGTAGACACAGCCTTACACTGGTGTAAATCCAGAGCAATTCCATTGAAGTCAATGAAGCCACATAGGTGTACTATGTAAATCTGGATTAAGAGAGAGAAGAATCAGGCCCATTCTTGGGAAATGTAGGGTGTTAATGGACATCCTGACCAATTTTCAACTTGGGTAATTTTATTCTACCCAACTAAAATGACCCCTGACGTTGTAATGATCTGTGCAGTGCAATGGATACTGTTGGTGCTGTAGAAATAATGAAGAAGAACAGCTGGGGGGAAAAAAGGGTTTTGTTTTTTTGCTTCCTGCTGTGTAGCGCTGCCTAAAACCTACTGCATGTCAATTCCCTCAGTTATTTTATTGGGCTGACACTGGTTTTAGAATCAGCCCCCTGGAGACAGCTGCACATGTGTAACTCTTTGTGGGCTGTGATTAGGTAACCTTTTTGCAATATAGACTTTGTACCTGAACATTTGATTTCCTGATCAGTAGTTTTCATGCTAACGTCATTTTTAACTTCACATTGGAACTTTGCAGTACGGTTTTTGGCCTTGTGTTGATATTCAATCTTCCATATGCCATTTGCATCTGTTGGCTGTCTTTCGAAGAGTATCTTGTTATTTTGAAGCAAACGTAAAGCAGGTTTGTTCTTCTGTTTCACCTCACATGTCACCTTTATGGACTTTTGTGAACACGTCCATTTGATTTCTGGTTTAGTGACCATTTCTGAAAGAGAATAGAAGAGGCAATCAGTCTGTGAAGATTTCTAATTTTAAAAAGTTCATTGTTAGAACAGGCAAGATCCACAGAATGATACAAAGGAACCTGGAGGGATTTTAGAGGCATGGGCAGAACATAACAAAATGATCCTGTGAAAGGATGTGGGACAAATTAATCTGAAACACAGATATTCAGTGAGAGAGAAAGTGGGAAAGTAGCAATGCCTGAAAAAATAAAGGGGAGAGCGAACAGCAAATTAGACCTGAGTGGGGATGGGATGTGGCAAAAACAAAGAAAAGGCCATCTCAACACTGGTCTGCATATTTGTTTTTTTATAAAAAGTTTAACACCTTTATGACTCATTGTCACTTTCCACGCTGTTCCCTCCCTGCAGATCTGTAGAGTGTTTTTTCTTGAGATAACATTTCATTGTTTATTTACAGAGAGAGGATCCCAGTCCCTTCTCCTATGCTGTTTTGAAACACAGTGGGCCAGATCACTCTAGCTCAGGCTATGTCTACACTGCGCACCTTACAACGGCGGCTGCTGCCGTCGTGCTGTTGTACGGTGCGCTGTGTAGCTGCTCTCCAGGCGACAAAATAAAACCACCCCCAATGAGGGGTGGTAGCTTCAGTGCTGGGAGAGCAGCTCCAGCTGACGAAGCGCTGTCCACACCAGTGCTTTTTGTTGTTAAAACGTTTGCCATTGGAGGAGTGGGGGGTGTTCACACCCTTGAGCCACAACAGTTTTAACAACATTAATTAAGTGCCAGTATAGACAGAGCCTCAGTAGACTGCAGCTCAGGAGCCACAAATGGCTCTTTAATGTGTCTCCTGCAGCTCTTTGCAGCACATGATATTAAAACACTGATTTCAAATCTAAGTTATTAACCAATCAGGATGCTTTTACTGTGTTATTAACCAATTAAGTTATCAACTTGCACTACCTTATTTGCTGTGAGAATACTACATATTATATTATATATACACAAACACACACACACTAAATATTTCCCATCATACTGTTTGAATATGAACAGTACTATAGTAAATGAAACAAGGAATTCACACTACTGTGGCTCTTTTGGGTAATGTTGATCACTAATTTGGCTCCTGAACCACTGAGGTCTGAAGATCACTGCTCTAGTTCATGGAGAACCCCCTCAGGCATGGCCGAAGGGAGGAGCAAACTACCAGTTTCCCCCTGCAAGATTTTTGCTGCATCATCCCATCTGGTAGGAGGAGTTAGGGGATCCTGCAGACTTGGGAGACTGCAAACCCTCCCAACGACTCTGCTCTCAGGGGTCCATGGACACAGGAACTCTATTCCATCCATACAGAGCCTGGAGTCAACTTGCAGGCTCCACTAACCACCTCCCTCTCTGTTTCCGGAGCAGAGTTGGCACTAGCTGAAATGGCTGCTCATTAGCAACCAGGGAGAGGACCCAGAGCTGTATCTATATTACCTTGCTCAAAGATGTAACACTTCCCGCCTAGATCTGTGTGTGGAAAACTGAGCTCAGAGCAGGGGGAAGAGCCAAGGAGAGCAAATCATCAACTGCTGTTCTATCTCCACCCACAAATACCTCAGATACTACGCAGGTTCTCAGACACCAAGGTGGTTGGTTGGCCTGTAGGGAGACCACAGTATTTCCTCTCTTCCATACAGGAGGCCATCAGTCCAATGTAAGCAAACACACATTGCAGTTACTATGGGAGAGAAGCTATGCTATGCAGGGAGGACTTACACGAAGGCTTTACGTCATAGAGCAAAGAGGCAATAGTCTCCTTCTATGCAGCTCTGGCATGACTGCATCTGCAACTTTGCATTCAGCGTTGGGCACCAGAAAGACTGGAAAAGCTAGGTCAGTAAAAATAATAATAATAATTAAAAAAAAATACATCCCTGTCTGCCATAGCTATGATGGTATAAATGTATAGCCCAGGTCTTCGCCACATTGCTTAACGCACTGCTGGAACGTGTTCAGATACAACAGTGATGACTACAGTAGAAGAACATAGACTAGACTAGACATCGTCTTAGTACTACAGAGGCAATGAAGCTATGAATAAGCTGGTTTCGGTTTCCTATTATGCACAGTGAATTGGTAATGGAGCTCCCCTTGAGGAATCTCTATTACTGGCAATGGTACATGAGCCAGAAAGAGCCCACCCTGATTCTGAGTCCAGGTTGACGTTTCAGGCACATCAGTTGCGGGGGCGGGGAGGGGGGGGAAGAGCAAGAGAAGCAACTTTTTACTTTTACACTGAGCAAATCAGTCATTGCAAAAAGCCTGGAAACCCTCAGTGCTAGTTTACACTCAGTCATTTTTCAGAGTACTTCACTTCAACTATTGAGCAAACGCTGTAATCCATCTATTGAATACAGTGTATGTGCAAAGTATGGCCCTGGTCCTGCTAACACTGAAGCAATTGCTCAGGGCTGGATAAACACTATTCATCGATTTTAGGGCCAAAAGGGACCATAGTGATCATCTAGTCTGACCTCCTGTATAAATAGAATTTCACCCAGTAATTTCTGCATCAAGCCCATAAATTCTGTTTGAGCGAGCACATACACCGCTACCTCGATATAACGCGACCTGATATAACACGAATTCGGATAGAACGCGGTAAAGCAGTGCTCTGGGGCGGCGGGGCTGCACACTCTGGTGGATCAAAGCAAGTTCAATATAATGCATTTTCACCTATAACGCGGTAAGATTTTTTGGCTCCCAAGGACAGCGTTATACCGGGGTAGAGGTGTATTTCAGAAAGACATCCAGTCTTGAAACATTCTAGACACTATGGACAGATGCCTAGGGTCCTGATTTCTAGATTCACACGATGATGCTAAAAACTAAGCTTTTACTTTTAAAAAATAATTATGTTATCTATCTGACCCTAATGGCCATCATATCACTGCACCTCACATCACTAATGGATTTTATCCTCCCAATACTCCTAAGAGCTACATCCCCATTTCACAGTTGGGAAACTGAGGCACAGGATAGATTAAGTCACTTGACCAAGGTCACACAGGAAGCCAGTGGCTGAGCTAGAAATTCTACCCCAATCCAATG